TATATGATATATATACACATATATATGAATAGTGCCTTAAGTCTCAACCATCTCGACGTAAACCTGTATCAAATCATTTCGAAAAATTAACCTATCAAATCAATTATAGGAAACCTATTCAACCAAACAAAAGAAGCAATAGACATTCACAGAAACAGTTCTTTGCCATGCAAAATCCAACTTAAACTATTAAAAACTAGACGCATTAATTTAATGTCTCAAGAAGATCACCAACACATATGCAGAGGAGTATAAATTCTTAAAAACTAAAGAGAAGAAATATGTAGACTATTAAAATGACTCATGTCATGGCTTATACTATGGCCAGCAACGAGACAAATTTTAAAAGAGAAAAGTTTGCCCCATTATGAGTATTTCCACTCATTATAGCGTGTCCGAGCTTCTCTCTTAGATTCACCATTTTTAATTCACAATCCTCATGTTTTGCTGCCCTCTGATTTCCTTTCTCCCACTGGGTTTATCATGGAGCTAGGCTTTCCGTCAAATGTTGAAGTCCTACAAATACATACTTAAGTTTTCTTTGCAGCACTACTTTGTTCAAAATTTATGCTTCTCTGAGGACAGCTTAATAGAACACAGCAATGATACTGAAATCAGGCATTCTAATTTCAAAATGGCCAGCCCAACAAAGTTTGAATCTTTTTTGAAACGCAGTGGCTACATTCACGAAGCCCTGAATGTAGTTTGCAACTGAAGAATGATCTAGCTCTCACTTCACCCCCTACGCATTTCCTTTTGCTTCTTCTTATTTTTTTCACCCCCTCCCACCTGTCTTCCCTTCTTCCATTCTCCCTTGTTTCTTCGAACGACTTGTATTTTCAAATTGTCGGGCGTTACCGGGTCCACACACCGGGAAGGAAGGATTGAAGTCGTGTTCCGCGCGCTGAGCCAGCGAGGCCTTGTCGACCACGGCAGTTTTGTTGCGCACGCCTTTGCCTTCCGTAAACTCCGTTGCATTCGGACTGCTGCCTCATTATTTTTCACGCGAGTATTCCCGTGCTGCTTCCTCATTCACTTTGAACTTTGAGTGACCGTAGCGTGTCAGTGTCAGTCATGCCTCTGTGCCAATGGTGGATGATTCAGGGCACCGTGAACGCAGCCTGCAAACTACGTGAACGAAGCCACTGCGTTTTTAAAAAGTTTTTCCTACTTCACAGTTAAAATCTTCATACTGGAGCATTATATTTATTTGGATGATGCTATTCTTTGGACCATAAATATGTAATCTGCTGACCACAAACTGTCAAAGTCAACAAAGATTTTTGTATTTAAACAATATTTTTAATAGGCCCAAATCTAACCTAGGCTTTAATTCTGCCAACAATCTTGAAACATACAGAATGGTCAAAATAACAAATTAAATGAACATGCTTAGTCCATAGACACACCTTGAGTTTCATTTTCCAGTGTAATCTATAAATTCATGGTTCAAGTAGGACTTTAACTCACCCAGCCCTAACGCCAATAATATCACTATGCGCCCGCAACACTCCAACCCTAA